TTTGTCCTGGCTCTTCCTTTTAACAGTCAAACCTTCAAGTTTGGTGTTGAAACTGCTTTTTTCTTCAAGTGTACTTTGATGGCTCAGATAACGCTCTATGATAAGGAACTGACTTCGAAACCACTCACTGTACCGTGTGCTCACCATCAGGATGCACGTCACAAGGAGAGAGCAGGCACCGAACTTATGAGAAGTGGAATAGGACTGCGCTGAGTCTGTGAAATTCTCCTTTCCGCTGCCTGTATTGGAGATTTTGCAGGGAAAAAAAAAAAAGACAAAAGAACCAGGCACCCATCAGAAGACAGTTTTGTGAGAGGAGAAAACAGTCAATGTCCTCCAGAGAGTTGTTTGCCCCTTGGCAGAGGTTGCCAAAAATCTGCACATTCATGCCCATTTTTCCGTCATTCACAAGACTCAGTGAGGCTGATGTGAAGTTGCCCAGATCGCCTAGGAGTGTCGGTGCTCTCCTAGGGGGGACCTGAGTTTCTGGGCTCATTGGCCACTGCATCTCCTGTTGCTGAGTTGAAGCTCTTCCATATGCCCATCGATATTTGGAATCTGCCAACAGCTGCCCACACCTGGAGCCATCACTTCACAATTGCAACAAACCCTTGTGCTGTGTAGGTGCTGGTGTTTTTCAAAATGACTTCATGTCCCTTACCTCATCACCCATCCCATGGAGAAGGTTGGCATCAGTGTGGTAGCTGGCAGAAACCTTAGTAGTGTATTGTGCCCATTTTGCAGATAAGGTAAGAGTGACTAGGGTGACAACTGTAGAAAATACCCCGAGACCAAGGGAGGGGCTTTTCAGTGGATGTTCCATAATTGTGTCTTCAGAAACCATATGTTTTCAAAGACCTCTACCCTTTGGATGGAAATCAGTGGCTTCCTGAGTCTCGTAGGGCAGGCCATTGTTGCTCTTGACTTCATTTTTAGCTTTGCCTTGTGCCCAGGGTGCCCAGAGATCTTGCCTGGGAGGCAGAAGGAGTTGGGCTAGCTTGGATCAGACAAACTGAGGCTGGAATCTGGCTTACTAGCTATGTTACTTCAGGTGAGTTACTTCACCTCTCCAGGCCTTAGTTTCTGCATCAGGAAAATGCAGGTGCTGTAGTCAAAGCTCTTCAGGGTCCCTGCCAGGCATGGCAGTCCGTGGTGGTGTGATTCTATGAATTACCCTGGATTTGCATACCCGAAGCATCTTACAGGTTTCGAAGCACTTTCACATACACTTTCCATAGTTCATTCAATCTCAGCCACAGCTCTGTGGGGTGGGCAGCCAGGCATGCCATATTTCATAACCCCATTTGAGAGACAGAGAAACTGAGGTGCTGAAAGATTAAGTGGCTAGCCATAGGAACCCTGGCAAGCTGGTGGCTGGCAGGACTTGAGCATAGATGTGGGGAATTCTGGACCATCTCATGGGCAGCCCCCTTGGGCAGGGATTCCTTCTGTTCCATCCTGGAGGGCATTGAGAAGCAGGCCAGAGCTTGAGGATCTGGCACAGAACGCGTGGCCCTCAGGGCCTCCTTGCTGTGTGGAACTCCAGCTGCTGGGCCCTCAGCCCCCTGGAACACTTGGCAGCATTTTAGGAGATGCTCTGGGACGCAGCTACAAGGGCCCTTCTGAGGTGGAGATAAGCTCTTCCCTCCCTAGTCCCTTTCCTGTGGGTCCACACACCGCGCTACGCCGCGCTTTGGATCACACAGGTTTCCCCTTCTGGGACCCCCCTGGTCCTCCTGCCAGTCAAATTCCTGGCTATCCTTAAAGTCCAAACCAAAGAGCCCACCCTTGAGCCAGTCTACATACATTTTCTTAACAAATAATCTGTTTCCTCCTCTGTAAAATGGGAATGGAAATAGCCTCTGTGAGATCATTTACTCCCCGTTTTGCAGATGGGGAAACGGAGGCTCAGAGGTGTATGCAGCTGGGAAAGGCTGGAGCTGGGACTTGAAGCTTATGACCCAAAAAGCCCAGGGCCTGATGCACCACGCAACACTCACTTCTTTTCCCCATTCAAAGGCACCTGGGGACCTCCCTCCGCCTCTGAGCACTCCCAGCCCTCCCTGGGCTCCGAGTCCCACGGATCAGAGGCTGCACCTTACTCAGCACTATCCATTCCCCACGCCTTCCTGGCCCAGCTGCTCTTGATAAGCCCTTGCTGGTTGAAGCCTCAGAGAGAAGAGAGCTGCCGTGCAGGGGGGTGCCAAGGCCAGCTGGGGCCTACAAAACTAGGGGCTGCTTCTCCTTCCAGCTGGTCCACAGGGCTGAGCTACTGAATATCCCAGGGTGCTCTGGCCTAGCACTCACCTAGGGTCCAGCAGTGCAGTGGGGTGACCCAGTTTGTTTTTCTCACACTGACCACCAACTTGGTCCTGACTCTTCTAACCATGTAGAATAATGAGCTGTTTAAAATCTCAGGGTCAGGGGCGGACATTCTGTCCCCATCCACTCTGTGACCCAGCCAAGCGATTTCATGTATTGGTGAATCTAAGACTCCATCTATCATAAGGTGCCCCATATTTTATGTTCCACCAAGAAAGAAAAAAACACTCCCTGCTGGCTAAACTTTGCTAACCCATCAGTTGTAAGATGCATCTCAGTTTCAGAAATAAGATTTGTATAGACACTTCACAAAAGATAATATAAGAATGGCTGATAAGTGCATGAGAAGATGCTCCATATCATTAGTCATCAGGAAGGTGCAAATGAGAACCACAAAGAGACATCACTACCATATCCATCGGGGTGGCTGAAGAAAGACACCCCAAAACTGACCAGTGCAGATGTTGGTGAGGATGTGGGGCAACTGTACAGCTGATGGGCTATAAAATGACTTTCCATAATAGTTTGGAAATTTCTTGAAAAGTTAAAAGTATACCTTTGTATGCCCCAGACATTCTGTTCCTGAATACCCAAGAGAAATGAAAACATGTGCACACAGTGACTTGTACACAACGGTTAATAGCAATTTATTTTGTAATAGCTAAAAACTGGACACAACCCAAATGTGTACCGGTAAGTGAATGGGTAAAGAAATGGTGGTGCCTCCATACAATGGAATAGTGCTCAGCCACACAAAGGAATAAACTACTGATCTGAGCAACAGCATGGCTAAATCTCACAATTATGTTGAATGAGAAAATCTAGACAGAAGAGAGCATGAACAGCATAATTTAATTTCTATAAAACTCCAGGAAATTTAAAGGAACCTTTATTGACAGCGAGCAGGACAGTGGCTGCCTGGCGCTGTGATGGATGGAGGAGTCACAGTGGATACACAGAAGCCCCAGGAAACTCTGGGGTGATGGGTGTGTTTGTTGTGTTGATTGTGGCAATGATTGGATGGGTGTAAACATGTCAGAACTTACTACTTGTACCCTTCAAATATACACAGTTTAGTATACTTCAGTTATACCTCATCAATGTTGAAAAATATGAACATTTGTAGAATAGAATGGTTTCGTTGGCTATGGCCCAGAATATGTCTGAGGCTTACATAGGAGAAAGCATTGGCCCAGTGCCTGCTGTTTGTAACTTTACCTCTATAGATGGCTTGCAGTTTTTATTCCAATACAAGGTCTCTTTACAGACAGCGGCCTGGGGCTGGGAGAGGCCAGAGACCCTGCCCCAGGTTCCACAGGGAGTTGGTGCAGTGCAGGCCAGCATTCTTGGGCCAGAGTGGGCCTGAGGACCCTTGGCATCTTGCACTAGCTTGACCCCAAGCAAGGCAAAAAGGGACCTTCCAGCCTCAGGGGAATGGTCTGGTTGGCAGGAGCCAAGGGCAGGGGGCCTGTGATGTAAACACGCTCAGCCTCTGACATTGGGTCCTCATCAAGGGTGATGGACTGCAGCGAGCGGCATGAGTTGGTGTCACCTGCCCTGCGGCCTGGCTGTATGGATGCAGCAGTCCTTCCACATAGCCTGCCCCAGCTAGGCCCCAGGTGCCCTGCAAACGAGTGACTCAAAGCCACTCTTTACAGCAAGTGTGAGCAGCCCCCACCGCAGACCGCCTTCGGGGCAGGCCGGGGTTTGACATTACTCACAGCTTCCAGTACCTGCCTGAGTTCAAACAGGAAGCCTGGTTTTTCCTCTCGTGTCAACAACAGCCTTTATTTCTCTCTTTCTATTCTAGCCTCTGGGCTTTCTTGCGGAGTGGGTTTCTTGGGGTGCAAGTCTGGGGTGTCATTGGCTCTTGGGGCCCCACCAGCAGATGCCTCAGCTGGAACTTATGCACCTGGGAAGGCTGGGAGAGGGCTTTGTGCCAGCAGGCTGTGAAAATGACCTAGCTCATCTATAGTTTGTCAACAAAGGGAGCCTCTGGCCGGGCTAACAGTGGGCCTCCAACACGTTTGTTCAACGGATCTGGACTGACACCTGATGTGTCCTGAACAAACGCCCCTCCTTGGTTCCCTGCTCAGTGAATGTCATCTCCACCTGCCCCCCTGGGCCAGGCACACTGGAAAGACATCTTTGCTTCTCTGCTTCCTCATTCCCCACCCCGTCTGTCTGTCCTTCCTCTCCCATGTCTCCCAAATCCAGCCCCTCCTCCCCACACTCTCTCTGATGGTCTTAGTCCAGACCCCTGGTCCCTTCACTGTGCTGCTGTCACTATACTCTGCCTCACCTGACTCCAGTCCAGGCACAGACGGCTCAGGGGCCAGAGCCATCCTCCCTAGATGCCTGAGGGAATCCCAGCACAGATGGCTTCTCTGCTCACTATCCTTGCATAGTCCTCTGTTGCAAATCTAAGGTCCCTACTGTGAGACTCATAGACACTGAGAAGGGAATGGTGGGTACCACGGGGGAGGGGTTATGGTGAGGAGGGAGGGTGGGGAGGATAAAAGGGGCACAAATATTCTCACTCATAATTTAAGTTGGTCATGGCGATAGTAGTAAAGAGTGGAGAGTATAACCAATGATTCTGTAACATCTTCCTGTGTTGACAGTAACTGCAGTAGTTGGGGGAAAGATTTAATAACGTGAATAACTATTGAACCACTGTGTTGTATACTTGAAACTAATATAAGATAATATATCAACTATACTTCAATAAAAGAAAGTCCCTCCTGTGGAGGCACAGGGTGGTCTCCTACTGTCAGAACTCACCTCTGCTCCCTGCTCCCAGAGGGTTCGTGGTGTGGTGAGGATACCCGGTCACTTCCCTTGGGCTTCCCTAAGCAAGCCGACACTTCCTGGCTTTCTGGGCCTGCATGATGCTCAGGATAGACCCCCTCTGCCCCTGACCTCCCAGGGCAACAGCTGTCACCTTGCAGCTGAATCCCATGCTTCCCCTGCGTGTCCCGAGGAGCAGCTGGAGCTGGCTTCCCTCCTGCACAGGTGTGTGCAGCTTGTTTTTGCATGCACTGCCCACAGGTTTCCCCAGCCTCTGAGGGCAGGGTTCTGATTGGGTTCTGTGTCCACAGGTCAGTCCAGCCTGTCCAGCCAGGAAGGGCACAGCACAGCAGGGAGCTGGGGCTCGGCGGGTGTGTGTTGGGCAGCCATCTCTCTGTGCCTTTCACGACCTCAGGGAACCTGCCTTGGGTTTGCATGCAGCTGGTCCGTGACCCACCAGGCTCCCTGAGGCCGCTTGCTTTATAGGGAGCTATTGATAATTAGGGGGCAGGGCCAAAGGGGAAGGGTCTCTTTCCAGGGAATTTCATTGGACATTAAATGCCTTTTAGTCCTGCTCTGGCTCTAGCTGGAGGTCTGACCTGCAGGCCAAGCCTGGGACACTCAGGCTGCCCGTATTTCATCTTCACCAAGCTCTGGGGAAAGGATTCCTGGACACCTGGAGAAACAGTCCCTTGGGTTGGACGGGTGCTGGAAAGGTAAAAGGGAGGCCTAGCACTCCTCCGTGCCACAGTCTCCTCGTCTGTTCAATTAGGAACACACCTTCATAGGGTCAGTGTGAGGATTAAATGAATGGACATAAACAAAGCTCAGGGTCCAGGTGGGGAGATGGGGGAACAGTGCACAAACATTAGACACACATGAACATGTCATTACAATGGTGCTACATACAAAGGAGACATCTGAGATGACAATGAGGACTGACCTCAGCAGGAACTGAGTTGGTTTGGGGGTCTCAAGGCCTCCCCAAGAAGTGAGGGTTCATCAGTGTGCATAGGAGTTCTCTTGGTGAATGGGGGTCTGGGGAGAGGACAATTCAGGTCAAGGGAACAGTCTGAAAAGGTCCTGAGGTGTGTTGAAAGGGCAGAGGGTAGGAGGAATTGTACTGCTGAACAAGGTCATAGACAATCTGGAGAAGAGGGCAAGGGCCTGGGTCTGCAGTCTGGGGGCAGCCACCATGACACCCATGACTGTGCCACTTGCTCTGTCTAGGTCTCCATGGGAAACAAGCCTTCACAGCATGTGTGAGGACTATCAACCAACCAAACCTCTGCTCACCTGCTGGAGTTCCCTTCATCAGCACGTGATTCCTTGCAGGGTGGGGTAAGCATTGCTCTTCTCCAGGTGTCTTTTTTAAACTCCAGGTGCTCCTGGGAGTGGGCAGCCAACTGTCCTCCCACTGCTGACTGATTAGGAGGGGTCTGGGGCAACTAGGAGGAGAGGAGGGCTGGAAGGTGGAGGCTGCTGTACACACCTTGTATGTTAGGGTTGCTTGGCCTGGCCAGCAGCCCCCAGGCAACCAAACCTCCTCCCTTCCACTTGCACCACACAGCACTTCTCCCCTCTTCCCGGGGTGGCCTGGGCTCTGTGCGCCAGGGTCCGAACTCTGGCACCTGACTCCTTCCTGGGCTCTGTGCCTAACGCAGGGTGAGGTAATCCCGCCCCAGCATACTTGCTTCTTGACTTAAGTTCCTTTTTCAAATCAGATTTAATTTCAAGGTTTTTGTTCATTCTTTAAATCTGACTTTTAATGATGTAAACAATACAGATAATGGGGAAGAAAATAAACAGCAGAGTTAAAGCTGAAATTCTCCCATCCCAGTCTCCTACTTGGGGTGTCAGTTGGGGGGGGTTCTTCTTCCAGTCTCTTTTGAATATGTTTTCATTTATGTGTGTAGATGTAAGGATGAATAGTTTTGTGCGGTGTACTTTTTTTCTATCATAAATCTGAGTTCTAAGTATTATTTAGCAACTTCCTTTTCCATTTCATGGTACATCTTGGAGATCTTTGCACATCAGTGTATGTAAATGTACCTCATTTTTTTTAATGACCGCATAGTATTCCTAAATTTGTATTCCTATGGGTTACTTACCTATTCCCTCACCAATAAACATTCATTCACAGTTTCCAGATTGTCACCAACACAAGCAATATCATAGTAAACATCTTGTATGTGACTCTCAGCCTAGCTCAGCTCAAGGACAGCTGTCTCGGTTGGTGGTGAGATCTGTATTAGAGGAGGTATTCAAGTAAAAGGTGAAATAGTGTGTCTTTCCCACCCCAGAACAGTGATGCTCAAGCTTTATTGTGCATGGGAATCACCTGGAGAGCTTTCTAAGAGGCAGATTGCTGGGCTAGGCCCTTGGAGTTGCTGATTCAGGAGATCTTGGGTGGGCCTGAGAATCTGCATTTCCAACAAGTTCCCAGGTGAGGCTGCTGGTTCAGGGACTTTACTTTGAGAATCACAGCCTTCAGGGTGTTGGCTGCCCAGCCTCCACTTACTTGAAGAGTCACATCACCCTTGGGAGGATTCTCCCAGGGCCCCTTTCTCCCAAAGGGAGGCCAGGGCCCTTCAGGGCCCTGGTAATGTGTTCAGAGGCCTGGGCAGATGTTCTGACTGGGTCTGGACGCCCTTGTCTGTCTCCAGACACAGGCTACAGGACCAGCCCTTTCTGGGCACCACCCCCACCCCTGCAACTTGCCCATTCTTCCCTGGGGAGCCTAATGAAGGGCTGAGGCTGGCGGTGAGCTATTTACACACTGTGATTGAGAAGTGCTCTGGGGTTTTCATAAAAGAAACAATAGGAGACCACATCCCCAGAGTGGGTCTTCTAAAGGTCTTGAGGTTTCAGAACCCTGAGGCACTCTTTGTTCCCAGGTGGACTACAGGAGGTCACCCTGGGGTGGGGTGGGGGGAATCTGGAGCCTAGACCTTTGAAATGAAAATATTGCCCTTTTCCAGCCCTTCCCAGTAGCATTGAGAGGGACACTTCTGCTCCCGAAGATGGTCAAGTACTAGGCTGAGGGTCAGACCCCCCCATGTGCATTTGCCTCTGTCCCGAGCTGAATTCTGACAACCTGCAGCTCCACGGGCTCCTTGCCCTCTGACTCTAGGGTGTGGTCCATGATCATCAGCAATCCTGATGGTCAGAGAGAGCCTTCGCTGGACTACTAGCTCCTTCTTTCAGGTATGGGAAGTAATAGGGAAGAAGCCTCAGCCCCCAGGCCACAGATCTGGGGGAGGGATAGAAGCTCCTCTGGAGCTAGGAGAGCCGCCCTAGGCCCATGGGGTGGGGGTGGGGACGACAAAGTTTGGATGTAATTCTAGTCCATCCCGGAATGTTGTCTGAGGTAGACTGGTGTGCCTGTGTGCCTCTCTCTCTCTAAAGTTGTGAATGTCTTACTTAATTTGTTCATGCTTGGAATCCGAGCAAGGAAATAGTAAGTATGTAACAGATCCTTGTTTAGTAAGTGAATAAATGAAAAAATAAATATCTTGGAAGGTATCTGCAGCATGGGCTCGGGCTGCTCACTCTCTGGATATGGGGACCTAGACGCTAGGTCCAGTTCTTGGGCTGTTTGAGGTCCTTTCTGCACCTCTGTAACTGCAGAGCTGGTCCCACCACCAGGGGAAAGCTCTGCACAGCCTCAGATGTAAAAGAGCCCTGGGAAAAATTCTGCCTCCTATGCAAGGATTGCCCAGGGACAGCCTAACCGCGGAGAGGAGTGTGGATGGGCGGTGACTGGCATCCACGTTCCAGCCGAGGGGATGGAGTGGATCTCTGGGCAGGGCTGAGGTCTGGAGGTGGGAGCGCAGGGCGAGGCCCTGCTCCGCCCGTATCCCATCACCAGCCCCTCCACCTGCCTTCACTCCCAACTCTGCAGTAATACTGGAACTGGCCAGCAGGGAGGGAGCGCATCTTCATCCTTGCAGACTCAAAACTTAACTTTGTCATATTTTTCAAGACACCCGCTGCTAACCCAAAACAGAGAGAGCCGGGGCTGGGGGAATTCTGCACAGTGGAAAAGCTCAGGGTGTTACTTGGGTCTGGGTGGGGCTAGTCCTTGGCGCTGGCAACTCACATCTCACACCAAGAGTGTCCGGTTTGGGGGTGTCGGGGGTCTGTGGGGCTAAGCGGGGGGCAGCAGAGTAGGGCGCCCCTTTCCTGCCCCACTCCAGGGCGGGCAAGGAGGGTGTGCCACCTGCGCAGCGGGGCACTGCGCGGCCATGGCTCCCCTCCGGCCGGGAGGGGAAGGGTCAGTCCAGGCAGGCGTCCCCTTGTGGGCCTCCGAGCCGGCCCCCTCCGCTGTCGGCCCGAACAGAGCGCTTTGAAGTGGCCGTGTTCGTGGCCCGCTCCGCAGCTCGGCGCCGCCCCTGCTGCGCCAGCGCCCGGGCGGAGGCCAAGTGCTTTGCCAGGAAATGGGCCCCATGGTACCCGCTGGGCGCTCTTTGTGAAGTCCTCCCCGGGAAGGCCCGACGAGGGCCACTCCAGGAGAATTCGCCTCCGGGGTCCGCGGCCCAGGAGTGTAGGACTAGCCCCCGAAACCACTTTCATGATCGGATATCTCCTCCGGACTTGGGGCGTGACAGCCAGGGCCCCGGCTAAGGTTCCTCTAGAGGAAATGGGGCGGGCTGGGCAGGACCCAACCCCTTAGGAGGCCGCTGGGGTTGGGGATGTGGGGACTAGTTTTCCACCAAAAGCCAACGGGCCATTTTGGCAACATCAGTTCCCCAGTACTTAAAAGCTGCACGGACCTTTGATCCACTAACTCCATTGTTGCTATGAAAATAGATTTGTGCGAAGATATCTGTACATACAACACATTGGAGCGTTGTTTAGAACTGGGAAACCGTCGGAATAGCCAGCAGTAGAGATTGATTATATTTACCAAATAACTAGTTTATCAAGGGCCAGATGCTTTTGGAAAAATCCATGACTTCAACCATTAGCCATAATGGTATAGAATATTTACTACCAAAAAATGCTTTTGATATTAAGTTAGAGACAACTAAATATACCTGTATGGAAAGACTGGAAGATATAGGATACCAAATTACTAGGGGATTTCTTTGGATGCTGAGATAAAAGGATGACTACTATTGTTGTAGACATTCCTGAAATTGCTTATACTTTATACCATGATCATGTACTTTAAAATAAATTTCATTTAAATAAAAATTCAGTTCTAAGTATGTATAACAAAATTTTGCCAGGCTTCTCAATAATTTCTAAATTTGAATAGCACTGAACAAAATGCACAACAATATTCTGTTTTTCTCTTCTGTTTTCAAAACAGGCCTCCAGCCTGTGGGATGGATAGACAATTACTGTTATACTCATTGCACAGAAGAGGAGGCTGGTGCCTTGGGAAGTGATGGGTGGCTTGTAGGGATGAGGCGCACGCGGCAGGGTCATAGCACGGAGCTCCTTCCAGTTTGCAGGGCATGCATGGAGTGATGGAGTGGAACATGCGAAAGGGGCTGTGTGCAGAGCAGAGCTGCAGAACAGATGTCCCTGAGGAGAATTAGAGTTGTTAGAAACCAGGAACATGACCTCCAGACCATAGTCGGGCTTCCCAGAGATCCTGGGTTGGATTTTTTTCACTCTTCTGATCCTACTCAGGGTCCCTGGAGTGGTGGAGGGAGCTTCTACAGGACTCGGACTTGTCAAGCATCCAGCTCTCTTCCTAAAATGCGCTTAGCTAGCTATGGGGGAGTCCCTCCACCTCTGCATGTTCCTCTGCCCCACCCCTCTTTCCCAGCCTCCCAGCCCCTGTGACCACCATTAGTTCATGGCTGGCCCCTCACATGGTTGAGAACACCTTGAATTACTGGGGGATGTGGGTTGGGGAGAAGAGTTGAGGAGAGGTCTTTTGTCTTGGTGAGACAGGGACCATGGATATAGTCAGAGTAGGGTGAGAGCCTCCGGAGGGGGCAGGGCGGGATATTTGCAGTCAGAGCAATGTAACTACATGCAAGGAAACCCCCCCTGCTAAAACTCTGTTAAACATTGAGCTCTAGAATCATTCTTCAGTGAAATCAGTTAATGTTCCCCAGATAAAGAAGGGTAGCACATGTTTTATTATGCTAATCATTTGTAACCCTGTGTAAGATTCACTTTAGCATACTAAAAGGCCCAGGCCTATGTGCTGTCTTTCCTCCTTCAGATCTGGCGAGGTATTTCTGCAAACTGAGCAACTAACTTAGCTGCAGACCCAGCTGTAGACGTCATGGTAAAAGGCAGGGAGAATTCCATCTTTAAGATAAGGTTGCATTTTAACACCCAGGAAGTTCAAGAGGCAAGATTCTTTAGCAAGTAGA